CAATACATTCCAGTTAAAATTATAATTATAAAATTAAAATTATACAGCTAAAACTGGTTTTCAACATCGCATAACAAACACACCGCGTGCGCCTATTGTATAACATCGCAGCGGCGACGCGTAGYTTGAGAACCCGCGGCTAGCGGCACGTTCATGGCKGGCGGGTTTCGGGGGTAACCGGCCAGTTTTCGTTGCGCGGACTATAGTAGAACACAAGTCTTAACTTGCAATTACAATGACTATATAATAGAATATTAGAAAAAATATGTGTCATTTTTTAGAAACGTATTTCCTATTAATTATTAAAAGCAAAAATTATGGATAAAAATTCTATATTAATGATTTATAACAATAAGCCTTATAATATTGTAACCTACAAATTCAAAATTAAATAAAAACTTAAATTTAGCTGTTGTTTTATCGTATGCGTCTTAAAGTCCGGCAAACAAAAATCATACGTATAAAAAGTCCGCAAACAAGATTCATGCATTCCATCAGTAGCATTACTATTGCTTTACTGTTTTTACCACTTTACAACAAAATTCAAATAATATTACATTTGAAGTGAATAATGTAAAAGTGATTTTAGTTACGATTTTACGAATTAAATAATACTCGAAGCTTAATGTATCATAGTGACTAGTATATTATTAAAAGTTTTTATAAAAAGGTAATAGGTATATTGTTAGAAATTATTATACTATCAACGGCACTGTCGTTGTCGTCTTCTTATCTATCATTAACAAATTTTTGGTTTTAAAGTATAATTAATAATTGGAAAAAAATATTAAAAATCAGTGCCATCTCCCTCAAAAACGTGTTGAATGTGTCCAAATTGAATGTGTAATTTAGGCAATTAATGAACTTAGTTCATTACATAATTTAGTAGGATCAATGTTGCTTGATTCAAAAAGCTTATTCACTCGTTGAATTTCTTTTAAAATTGACTTTAAAAATAATAAGTAAGCTAGATTTTGTTCATCTTTGTACATGTTGTATAACGTTTCTGCAAGGTAGCATTTTTCTTTAGATCTGGAAACTTCAAAATGAAGTTTGAGTTAATACTATTGGGCTATTACCCGAGAAACTGCCACTTCAATGGAAAGCCAACGAGTGTTTGATGCTTGCACAATCTTTAAAGGTTCACATCCATCATTTAAAGTTGTAAATAACTTTTTATATGCTTGCTGTCTAAGAGTTGATGTACTGAACCAATTGTATGTTTCAGAAATTAAAAAATCTAAATTTCTAGGTAACTTTTCAGAAACTGCATGAGATGTAGCTAATTGTAAAGAATGACATACACATTTAATAAGGACAATGTATGGATTTTCAYCTTTCAGTAATTTGTGTACTCCGTTGTTGACTCCTATCATAACACTCGCATTGTCTGTTCCTAGGCCTGTCATATTCTTTATGTTTAAAGAATATTTTTTTAAACAAGACTTTATAGCATTAACAATAGCTAAAGCGTTACCTTCCATAAGTTCTTCCAATCCTAAAAAAGTTGTTACTATGGTGCTTTTTAAGGTGCTATAATATATAATGACAATTCCCAGAAACTTTGTAACTGATATGTCAGTTGATTCGTCAACAAGAATACTATATTTGTTATTCCCAATATCGTCTTTTAATTTCAACTCAAAGTATGGGCAAAGAACATTATTGATTATTGCAGTGCACTTTGTGCAATGGAGATGAATATTATCTGCATGTGCTCCAGAAAATTGCAACTTACATAACTCTCCTAAATGGTCAGAGGATAAAATAGAGCAATGGACACTTACAAATAAAGCAATTGCCGCTTCAGCATGGTTTGTCTTATTGTTAGGTTTTATTAATTTTATACTGCCTGGTACATGTAAACGAATAGCTCCACTGGCCATTTTGTGTTTTTTAGTGTTTCTGTGGTTTATTAAATCAGCTCTTTTGGCCCTTATTTGGCAACAACAGACTTTGCAAAACGCTTTTAATGGATCGCCTTCATACTCGGACAATCAATCTGAAAATAGTTTGTCCTTCAGCCATTCAGACCGAAATGCCTGATTTTATTGCGGTTTCCCCATGCTTCTTAAAGCATTAAGYAATAAGTTAAAAGTTTACAAATTATTAAATATTAATATTATTAAATGAGTAAAGACTAARTGTTCTTATATATTATGAGTATAAYAATTATTTAATTAATAGTAGATTGTAAATAATAAATATTCTATGATAACTGTTAACACACTATCAAGGTATATTGATAATGATAATAATAATAATAATCAAATGTTATAATCATGGTTTAAGATTCTATCTTAAACCTTGGTTATAATATGTTATCATCCGATGATGAGAGTAGACAAAGAAAGACAAAGCAATTTATTAAAAGTTGTAGAATTACGTACACAAACACGTTCATATTTTTTTTTTTTTAAACCAGAAAAAGCTTTTTATTAATGATAAAAAGCTAGAAAAAAGACCAGGAGCTAAGTGACGAATTTTCACGACTTTGAAAGATCGAAAAAAGCCAGATAGTTCCATTGATTATAAATAATAGTATTTATAATCAATGATAGTTCTTATATTATACATGGGTATAAATTATTATCTGATAATATTATCAGTTTTTTGAAAAACACGGACTTTCGATTGTTAACCCAGCCTATCATAGAACAATATTTTTTTCATGGCCATATTTTAATGTGGATTGCTGATTGGAATAGTCGGTCGTCGACATGAGATAAAGGGTTATCAGTTATATTGAAACATCAATATTATTTGTGTACCATATTTTATACTTGATGTAAATTTTAAAACAGTATAACTACATAACTTATTTTAATAATCATAATCAATGTTGGATTTATTTCCAATAAACCCGAATAAGGAATTACTGAATTTCATATAATGGTAGGTATCCTAAAATATATTACTGTGGTGCAAGAAGAATTTTACATTTGTACCTATTTAATTTAAATCTTCCATCTGTTATAATAAAAAATGAAATTTTTATTTACAATTTTTATCTATTTATATAAAGGCATATGCTTGAATTAAAAATAAATAGATTTTTAACTATTAATAATAAAATAAGAAATTTGTAAGCTCATTTATTTTTTTAAATTAACATTAAAATAAGAAAGAAGTATTTTACTATCATTAGATGAAATAGATAAAAAAAAAAGTAGGTGCATGATAATTATTTTCCTGTGTATTCTTTTATGAAATATCCTAACTGATAAAAGTGGCATGATAAAAGAATAAAACCATAAGTGATGAGCACTTAAACAATTTGACAGACATTATTTTTGTATTTGTGGACCACTGATTAGAATGAGTAAGCTTTTTAATATTATAACTTTTCTCTCATGTAGTATAGGCACATCTAAAAATTAAAATAATCATGTAGGTAAAATGTTTACTAATTTTAAATGTTGGTGGTACACAAGATTTATTACAATGTTCTTGTAATAATTCCTTTAAAATTGGTTTATTTTGTCATAAAATGATGTACTTACTTATGAATTAGACCTTTCTTAGAATGACAGTTATTATCCTTGGCAATTATTAAGATATTAAATAATGTATTTTGAATTTTATATTTCAGTGTTTTTTCAAAAGTCAAATGGAGTTGTGTCATATCAAATGTCTGAAAGATATATAATCCAGTAGATATTTTTAAGAACTACAATTCAATACATTATGTCAACTTGCATTGCTGATGATTCAAATTCAATAATTGGTAATGACTAATCATAAGTTAAATTCTAATTCACAAAAAAATTAATGGCATTAATTAATGGTATTTACTATACCTGTATATCAAAATACATTCTGCGTTGTAGAGATGTTTTTTTAGTTTGAATTATTACTGAACTTCATACCTAATTGATTATTTTTAAATGTTCAAGGTATTCATGTATCACAATTGAATTATTTTTGTACATATTGTCAAGATGAAATCTCAAGTTTTCCATGTCAATCAAATAATGCGTACAACTCAATGATTATTTATGTTCGTTGTGCAATTTGTGAAGAATTTTTTCTTTGTTTAATGGTAACAATTAACCAGTACATATTAAGACATTTTTTCAATATTAACCAATTCATTGATAATCTTTAAATATTTTATTTTATTATATTACTATTATTATTCAAAGGTTATATATTACATAATTAATATTATACATTTTTATAATATTTTATTGTAATCCTGTAGTATCCTACCTTCTAGAAAAATGTACGTATGTAGTATGCTACTATGCTACCTACTAACAAATTTTACGCATGTATTATGCTACTTACCAGTGAATATGAAAGTAAAGTTTTTCGATAGGTAGTATAATGCACCAACTAAATGGCTATAAGTAGCATACTACACAAAGACCATTTTTTTCTTCTRAAAATTAATATTTTAAATTCCAGTTAAATCAAAATGATATAATATTACCATTTATATTTTATTAATTTTTTTTTAATACGATAAATTGTTGTTAGCTTATTTAGAATAGAGTTGACACAACTTTATATTTTTAATATTACTTTTATGAAACAGATTTCTATTTTACTTAGCATCCCACTTATGTAGAAAAACATCATGAAAATGAATTTATAAACCTTGCTAATCAATAATTACTTCAAAACTAAGTTATAAAGAAATAATATATTAAAAAGTATGAATAATTTAATGATTACTTATCATTTTTAAATTTTATAACTATCCTATATTATTTTGTTTATTTGAAAAACCATAAATATTTCAATAAGATAAATATGACAGCATAGCCAAGAATTAAACATTTTATTTATTTCAATTTATCAATTTAATGGTGTAAACATGAATAATATAAATAATTTAACTATTATGTAAGCATAATTATATTAACACAATTAAGTATGCATGTTATAAATCATGATTAAAAATTTTTTGTACAATGAAATAATTAAAGCTTGGATATTGTTACATTTATATTTTTTACACATTATATGAAAAATGTTTTTAGAACTGAATATTTTTGATTCTCATTAATACAACTTTTTCATGTTCACTTTTTATTTAAAATTATAAGTCAAAAACCTATTATTTTTTATGTATCAATAATTTATCAGTTAAATATTAAATCCAATTTTATTTATATAACAATAATATCAGAATCCTAGTTACATTGTATTTGTCTTACTAAAGTGGCTTAATTATATTTAAGAATATACTTTTGGATTTTAAAATTTTAAAATAGTAGGTAATATTTAATTGTATATTGTATATTAACATTTATAATTATCATTTTTCTTATTATTTTAGTGCTTTTCCTCTGGGGCTGAAATTGGCCTTCATAAGAATTACCACGATTATAAATTAGTTGTAAGTATAAGGTATTGGCTTATAGTTCATATAGAATATAACTAACATAATTTTGTATTGATTTTATATAGACAGTTTTTAAATCAAGTACTTTTTCAACAAAGCTTTTGGATGCTTTAGAAGAGTGGATTTCTGAAGACACTGAAAAACATTTAGGATCAAAAAAACTTATAGACAGTTGGGAAGATGTTGCAAGTGTAGTTGGATCCGTACATCCTGAAGGTATATTTTACTAGTTCATTGTTTATAAATTTATTTAATATTTGCCTAATGTTTTATATATATTTATTTTTTATTTTTAAGATGTGAAAAAAGAATATTTTGATACTTTTGTCAATGGATTTTTTGGTCAAAATATTATTAAACTAGTTAATAAACATTCAGGATATCCTCAAGTTGTAACATTAGATCAAGCCATAGCAATGGGTTGTTTAGAAAATTGTCCTATTTATTTCCCAACACGTAAAGTATGTTGTATATTTAGTGTGGTACTGATACAATATATTTTGAACTGTAAGGTCAAAATATCCTGGTATAAAATAACCAATATATAGGATGAAATATGCAAGTAAAAGAAATTTTAAAAATCTGTTAACAAAATCAATATTAGAAAAAATTATATTACTTTATTATAAGATATTTTTAGAATTATACTATACTATAAAAAGAATTAGATATTTTTTTTATTGCAGTTGCAAATATGATACTTTAGTTTATTAGTAGTCTTTAATAAGTCATTTTATAATTATTCTCTTTTTAAATTTGCTATTAAAATTTTTTTTGAATATTTTATCCTAGACATAGGTTATTTTATCGTTGAATATTTTAGTGCAGGATATTTTTTCTAGACTTATGTTGTTTGTGCCTAATTATTAAAGGAATGGATTTTATTGTAGATAAATATTTTAAATCTGATAATAAATGTGTTCGATTTCGATCATTCTTTAAATAAACCCAAATTTATTTTACATATTTGTTAAATAAGTACATACTTTTAATAATTTTTAATTTTTTGATTGAATTTTTATGACAATAAATTCTATCTGCTTTGTCTATTGACACGATTAGTAATTTAAATAGATTAAAACTGTTTCAGTTATCGTTTGAGTATATAATTAACCCTATTGTCAATATTAGTGATGCCGGACAATATAAATATAAAATTAGGAAGTTGTACCTACCTACTCGACAATCTTTTTTAKTAGTATTTGTAGTCATATTTAAAACGTAATCTCGTGCATGCCTACATCTAGTTTCTAATTTTTAAAATGCGGAAGTTATGTAATCAAAATTGATGAATTACTCCCCTATCACATTTGTTGGTACAGAATGGTCTTTTAATCAAAACTATATTAATCAATAACCTTTCAATTTTTTATTAGCAAACCTTTAACAATATATTGTTTTTCATTGCTTCGAATGTGCCGTGAGGATATACCCATTAGCCGTAAAGGGGGTCTTGCCACCTGGATAAAAACCAGTTTTTTGTCATTTTATCAATAAATTAAAATAATTATTAAAAATCGTATGACTAATGAAAATAAAATGTTGATAGGACAAAATTTTGACAAAAAAAAAAAAACTATAAAATATGTATCTTCATTTTTTTTAAAATTAAAAAATGATTTTTTTTAAACTTTACCAAAAAAATAAATAAAATTAAAAAATAAAATACATGAATAGCGCATGTCTATGTGAGTCTAATAAAAAAAAAAAAAAAACAGATTTATGATACATTTATAATCTCAGGAGATATCGCAATTGGTAACTCCTCACG